CTCTCCAGGAGACTCATCCCTTCCCTGCATCACCTGACTGACCTTAGACAAATTGGTAGGGTGCTTAGCAGCTGCCCGGAGACCCCCCCCCATAAGAATCTGGCAATAGACCTTTAGGCATTCCCTACCTTCGGGAGTGTTATAGTCCCATCCCTCCATTGGGCACATGAGAGGAAAAGCAGCTGCAATCAAGTCCTCATTCTCTGTCGGTCACCCATCATCTCCAGGGACCGTGTGTGTACATTCCCAAAGGATGCGGTTCCATTCCTTGGTGGTGAACAGGATATTCAATAGCTGCTGGCAATCATCCCAAGTGGGTTGGTGGGTAAAAAGAATGGTATCCAGGAGGGAAACTAGGGCCTGAGGTTTCTCTGTGAAGGAGGGAGTCTATAACTTCCAATTATACAGGTCACTAGTAGAAAAGGGAAAGTAGACTACAGGCGCAATTCTATCCTCCCTCGGGGGCCCAGTCTCCCTCAGGGGAAGAGTGTACTGTCCTCCCCTCCCCCGCAAGCGAGTGTGCAATGGGCTGGGCTCGGCCATGGGAGGGGCCGGCTCAGCCATGGGAGCTGGGGATGGAGATCAGGAGGAACTGGAGGAAGAGGAAGAGGCTCGGGACCTGTGTTCTCTAGGTCTATCCTGAGCACTCGATGGGGCCCTGTAAGGGAGTGGGAGTAAATCCTCCTCTGGCACTGAAGGGAGGACTTCGTGACCCAATGGGTTTTTGGTCTGGACATTCTTCAGGGAAAGCAAAGTGGCTGACCCCTTAGGCCCCGATGGTGGGGGTGGCAGTAAGAGGCGCAGCCAATTGGGAGAGGGTGGCGACCACATATCGCCAACCTAGGATGTAGGGGATCTGGTCAGGATGCCCTGGTTTCCCGAAGACAACTCCTTGAACCCTGTAAATGAGGGACAAGTTAAAAGACCCTTCAGGTGGCCATTTGACTTCAAAGGCGGGCCATTTGATGGTGCAGAGGGTCTGGAGGCGGGTCAGCTTGAAACGGAGTCTGGACACGGTTAAGGCCACCCGTTTGTAGTCCTGAAAATGGCTAAGAACTAGATCAAGGGGAGCTGAAGATGATGAGACTTTCTGGCCCATCGTGGGATAATCTTCAAGAAAAAGGAATATAAGAAGAGGGATGAGAATGAGAAGTAGGATGGAGAGTTGATAGACAAGGCGGAGCTCTGAGCAGAGGGTGAGGACAGTATGAGATGGCGGCTTCCTAGAGGGGGAAATGAAAATCTTGCAGCACGCAGAGTCAGCCGAGAAGGCTGCCCCTGTCCCTTTCCCAAAAAGATTTGGCTAGCCTGGATTCCACGTCAGACTCAACCAGAATCTTGCATCTGGCCCACCTGGATTCCACATTAGGCTGGAGCATGACCCCCTATCACAGGAGTCGGGGCGTCCCCCGTTCTCCTCCAGCTCTGGGATAAATAGCGCATCTGCCTGATCTCTGTTAAGCCCCAGGATGTCTGGACTACCAAAAAGCAAGGGGGGGGGGAGAGAGAGAGAGAGAGAGAGAGAGAGAGAGAGAGAGAGAGAGAGAGAGAGAAAAGCAGGCAGAACTTACCAAGGCTGGCTTTGGTGGCATGCTCTCATGAGTCTGGGGTCTCTATTCTTGAATCCCAGATGAGCCCCCAAATGTTAGGGTTTGAGAATTGAGACTAATTCCCACAGATACCAAGAAGATCATACAAAAAGTTTATTCAGGAATTTAAAGTAAAAACAATCAATAGGCGGCTAGCTGGGCACAGACTGCATGAGCCAAAGATGGAGTCGGGCCCCAAACAGTAGCAGGCAGGGGCTTTTATTGGGGAGCTCCACAGAAACCCACTCACGCCAAACATCTTTTAAAATGATTGGATGGACCCATAGCCTGAGTATGGGGGAATTTCTGATTGGACCGGGCTGTCTTTAGGGCATTGGAATGTGCTGACTGTTATCTTTTAGGGCCAGAAGTTTCTGTCTATACCTTATAAGGCTTTTACATGCCCGGACTTGCTTAACTTATAGCTTTTCGGGGGGGGGGGGGGGGAAAGGGGAATTTTAAAACATCCCGGTTTTTTTTTTGGGGGGGGGGGGGGTAGTAACTGGAAGTTTACAACATGCCTGGATTTTTCTGGGCTTGCCTGAAACATCTAGCCAAAATGGAGTCAGTACATTTTGACTCTTGCATTTTAACACTGCACTCTGACCATTCTGCATCACCGAGAGTGGAGAAATCTCATCTGTTTGGTGTAATGTAAATGGTAGTTTATTCATGTTCACTCTCATTCAATAAATATTTACTGAGTGACTACTAAATGACAGTCACCATTTGCTTTATACCAAATTAACATAAGCTTAGCTTAGCTGGTAGAAACAATACCCATTTCCTATCTCCTAGCTTTCATGAGCCAAGAATTGAGCATCATGTAGATCTCCCCTCTGCTTCAGGGTCTGTGTATGGCATAGGCTGTAGTCAGTAACATGAAGACTCAGATGGGAGGAAGGGGATCTGTTCCAAATTCTGTGATCCTAAAGTGCAGGCAATGTCAGAAGTCACTGCTTCTAGAAGGGCAGCTGAGCCAGGTCTTCAGAGAATGAGAGAACACGAGCACAAAATACTCACTGAATAGGGGAATTAAAAACTAGGGTTGAGGCTGAGAAAAACCCCATATCACCCCCCCACTTCAGTAGCACATGACATAGCTAAGTAAACAAACTGATCTTTAAATGGATGGCCAGTGAAATGGGGTGTGTATGCCTTAAAAGAAAAGAAAAGAAAGCCAGGTGTGGTGGCGCATGCCTTTAATCCCAGCACTCGGGAGGCAGAGGCAGGTGGATCTCTGTGAGTTCAAGGCCAGCCTGGTCTACATAGTGAGTTCCAGGACAGCTGGGGCTACAGGGAGACCCTGTCTCAAAAAGACCAAAAAAAAAAAAAAAAAAAAAAAGAAGGGCTGGGGAGATGGCTCAGTGGATAAAGTGCTTGCCATGCAAATATAAATAATAAATATAAATTTGACCTGCATTCAAATCCCCAGAACCCATGTAAAGCTGGGCCCAATAGTGGGCATCTGTAATCCCTGTGTTTGTGCAGCAAGATGGGAGGTGGAGACAGGAGATTCTCTGGAAGCTTGTGGGCCAGTTACCTGGAGTGCAGTAGCAAACAATAAAAAGACCCTGTCTCACACAAGTCGGAACCTGAAGACTGACATCTGATGTTGTCCTCTGACCTCCACATGCGTGCTGTGGCACTTGTGCACCCACATTCATACACACAAATGTGAGCATGCACACACACACACACACACAAACACACACACACACACAAAGAGAGATTAGAGCCACTTCTAATAATTCATATTTCCCCTTATGTTTAGCAAAAAGCTCATGTCCATGTGAGTTACAGATTCTTGCAAATTCATCTGTTCTTCCTTTATTTTCTAGGGATATTCTGAAGACCATTGCTCTGGGTCAGATGCTGTCCTTGTGTATATGTGGGACAGCCATCACCAGCCAGTATTTGGCAGAAAAGTATAGAGTGAACACACCTATGCTTCAGAGCTTTATCAACTATTGCCTGCTGTTCCTGGTTTACACGGTGATGCTGGCATTCCGATCAGGTATGTCCAATGAATTTGCACAAAACTGGATTAGTATCCATTTTTGACTTTTTGAGACATTTTTTGGCATGTGTTGTGTGGTGCATGTGTATGCATGTTTCATGTGTATGTATGTGTGTGTGGAGGCCAGAGGTTGACTTTGGATGTCTACTTTCTTCACTGAGGCAGGGGCTGGCTGAACTTGGAGCTCAGAGTTGCATTACCACAATTCTCACTTGACAGATGAAGGAAACCACAGTGTGGCCCTCAGACAACTTGTTCCAGGTCATATTGGTGGTCACTGTAGAGCCAGCAGTACAAAGGTGGCTTGCTTGGAGCCCCTCTCCCTCTGCCGCTGTCTGGGGCTGCTTGCTGCTGAGCTCCCAGGGTTTTCCCACAAGAGAACATGAAAATATCAAATCAATGAGACTGGACTCAATAGTTGGAAACAATGTCAGACCTGAACTGACTGAAAGGCACAGTGCTTCAATTTTCGTTGAGTTTTAGATCACCAATGTAGTGTTTGCTAGCCCCGTAGGGCATCAGTGGCAAGACTAGTAGCTGTTTATTTTGTGGTACTGGGGATTCAACCTAGGGTATTGTCCCCAACTTTCTTGTTAACTTTTTATTGTTGTTGTTGTTTTTGAGACCAGGTCTCCCTATAGCTCCATCTGGCCTGGAACTTACTCTGTAAACTAGGCCTCGATCTTAGAGATCTGCCTGTCTCTGCCTCCTGAGGGCTGGGATCAGAGGTGTGCACCACCATACCCAGCCTTCTTGTTAATTTTTTAAAAGATTTAATTAATTAATTAATTAATTTATGTGTTAGTATATGTGCACATTGTGGGGGTGTGCATAGAGGCTAGAAGAGGGCATTGGATGCCTTCCTCTATCACTCTCTCTTTTTTTTTTTTTTTTTTTGATGGAATGTCTCCCCCTGAACCTGGGACTCATGTTTTCTGGGCTAGGCTGGAAGTCAGCAAGCCCCAGCCATCCTCCTGTCTCCATCCCCTTGAAGCTGGTATTACAGATGTGTGGAGGATGCCCAGCTTGTTAGGTGGGTGCTGGGATCTGAATTACAGCTGAGTCATCTCTCCAGTCCTTTTTTACTTTTTTTTAAAAGCTGGGCATTGTGGTACATTCCTTTAATCCCAGTACTTTGGAAGCCTTGAGGTAGGCGGACCTTTGTGAGTTCAAGGCCAGCCTGGTCTACACAGCAAGTTCCAGGTCAGCTGGGACTAGAGGGAGACCCTGTCTCAAAAAGACCAAAAAAATTTATTATTATTTAAATATTTTTTTTCTTATTTTTATCTTATGTGTATGAGTGCTATGCCTTAATGTGAGTAAGTGCACCCGTGTTGTACGATGCTGGCGGAGGACAGAAGAGGCTGTCAGATCCCCTGGAACTGGAGTTACAGACAATTGTTAGCCGCCACGTGGGTACTGGGATTGGAACCCAGGTCTTCTGCAAGAACAGTCAGTGTTGTTAACCACTGAGCAATCTCTCCAGCCCCCCTCCCAAAAAATATTTAATAAGATTTATTGGGGCTGGAGAGATGGTTCAGTAGTTCAGAGCACTGGCTGCCCTTGCAGAGGACCCTGGTTCAGTTCCTAGCACCCACATGGCAGCTAACAACTGTCCATAACTCCAAGGGATCCTATGCCTTCTTCTGGCCTCCTTCGTTACTATATACATGTGGTGCACTTATATCCATGCAGGCAAAACATACACATAAAAAATAAAAATAAGCAAATAACATGTAAAAATTAATTATTTTTATTTTATGCATATGGGTGTTTGCTTACATGTCTGTGTGTATGCCACATGCATGCCTAGTACCCACTGGGGCCAGAAGAGGGTATCAGATCCCCTGTAATGAGAGATGGTTGTGTGCTGCCTGACGTGGGTGTCAGGAACCAAATCTGGGTCCTCTGCAAGAGTGGTGAGTGTTCTTAACTCTTGAGCCATTTCTTTAGCCTATTTTTTTTTTTTTAATTTTTTAAACTTATTTTGAGACAGGATCTTACCAAGTTGTTTTGGCTGGCTTTGAACTTTCAATCCTGCCTCAGCCTTCTGAGTACAGTACAGTAGCTGGGATTACAGGTTATGCCCCTAGGCTGGCTACTAGCTTATTATTATTACTACTACTGAGGAAAATAGAAGCCAGTTGTAAGAGAGGAGAAACCACCTTAAGGGTCGAGTATCAGGGTTCTCAAGAGCTCTATGGCTGGAGGAAATTGAAGTTAGGATGGCCGCATTTGACATACACAGCAGACCCTTTGCTCTGATCCTCTGATCTCCAGATCAGCGCACACTATGTTGTGAGTAGCAGGTACTAACCCAGCTTTCTTTCAACCAGGCAGTGAGAACCTTTTAGAGATTTTGAGGAGAAAATGGTGGAAGTACATCCTGTTAGGGCTGGCGGATGTGGAAGCCAACTACCTGATCGTCAGAGCATACCAGTACACGACACTGACTAGTGTCCAGGTAAGAGGCAGCCCCTTGAACATTCTGCACACTAAACCTCCAGGGGGAGAACACGTGCTCATATGTGCTCATCTAATTTTATTGAAAACCTGTTCATTTGAAGACACCCTAAGCACAGGTGCATGATGTCTGTTTTTCAATGCAGCATATGCTCTGCTGAGTCGTTTCCTGAAATTAGTGATGGTATATACAGTTAATCACTTCCCAAGCTGCTAACAGTACAGCAGATTAGAACAGTGCCTAGGAAAATATGCATAAATATTTAGCTGATACTTGCTGATGTGATGCTGACAGGAGTTCTGTTGTGTGTGTTGCTCAAACACAAATCTGAATGTGACTTTGTACTACAAAGTTGGAGATTTGCAAGTCAAGTGGAATTCATGACATAGGGATGCACTTGAAGGAGCCTACCCAATATGCTGAGAGAGGAGATAGTGATGGTGATGCGCCTATCCCTATTTCTTAATAGGTTTAACCTGGGTCCTCTGCAAGAGCAGCCAGTGCTCTTAACCTCTAAACCATCTCCTCAGGCCCTTTTTACTTATTATTATTATAGGAGTGTAGAGCAGCATGCATGAGTGTTGAGGTCAGAGGACAACTTTGTGGATTTGGTTCTCTCCATTCTTTTTATGTGGGTTGCAGGGACCAAACTCAGTCACCAGGCTTGTATGGTAAGAACCTTGCTGAGTCACCTTGCCAGCCTTTTATTAGGCTTATTCTTGCTGGGCTGAAATAAAAATGTTCCTCCATGACAGTAGTTCTCAACTTTGTGGAGTTGAGGAAGATTGAATCCAGTTTTCTTAATGTTAGCAACTGATGAGACATACCACACCCCCGATTTGCCTTTAAGAACAACAGAATGTTTTATAAACGGAGGTGAAAGTAAGATATAATCCAATGTCAGATTTAGACTGGAGAGATGACTCAGCTGTTACGAACACTTGCTGCTCTTGCAGAGGATCGGAGTTCAGTTCATGTCAGGTACCTCACAACTTCCTGTAACTACAGCTCCAGGGGATCCAACACCCTCTTTTGGCCTCCAAGGGCACACACACACACACACACACACACACTCACACACACACACAAATAAAAATGATATAAACTACACACACACACACACACATACACACACACACACACTCACACACACACACAAATAAAAATGATATAAATCCACAAAGAAATCATGTACTTATGGTGTTAGTAATATATTATTTTTAAAAGAGCATTTCACAGGCAGGAGGTGTAGCTCAGTTGGTAGAGTGCTTCTCTAGAATGCATAAAACTGGTTCAATCCCTAAGGTTGCAAAAACTCAGCCTGGTGGTACATGCCTGTAATCTCAGCACTCAGGAAGGCAGAGGCAGGAAGATCAGAAACTCAAGGTCATTCTGAGTTTGAGGGCAGCCTGGAATACATGAGATCCCTTTTCAAAAGAACCATAAACATATAAAAAAGCATTTCACAATTAAAACAACCAAAACTCCCTATTAGTAGTAGAGATGTTGTCTCTGGAATTATTTAAGTTGATTGTAAGTAAATCTGTGGCCTAGACAATCTGAGAGGTGGCAGTTAGGATTGGATGGCTTTTAAACACACACTCTCTCCTCTCTCTCTCTATCTCTATATCTATATCTATCTATCTACATCTATATATCTCCAGGATCTTCCTGTAGCCCCAGCTGGCCTGGAACTTGCTATGTAGGCCAGGCTGGCCTTTGTCTCATGGAGATCCGCCTGCCTCCACCTCCTGAGTGCTGGGACTAAAGGCGGGTGGTACCGTGCCCTGCTTGAACCTCTTTCTTAAGATGCCTTTGAAGATTCTTTAATTACAGATGATCATGTCGCAGTCCCTGTGAGGTTCATGTCACCAATGACCACTCACGGTTTAGGTTTCTATTGTCTTTCCCACTTCCTGCTCCCCACTCAGTCTCTCTTAGGCTGTGCTATCCTTTCTAGAATGAGATCACTTTTGAAGCCCCCCCCATTCTTTCAGGCATAATTAATTCAATTTCACTTTCTCTTCTATACTTCCTGGCAGCTCTAATATAGTCAAAGTCCTTTTTAAATACAGTTTTAAAAATATTTTATTCATTATTTTTATTTTTTTATGTGTATGTGTATTGCTTGCATGTATGTAAGTTTACCTGTGTTGTGCAATGCCCATGTAGGTTAGAAGAGGATATCGGATTCCCTGTAACTGGAGTTACTGATGGTTGGTAGCCACCATGTGGGTGCTGGGAACTGAACCCAGGTCCTCTGCAAGAGCAGCCAGTGCTCTTAACTGCTGAGCCATCTCTCCAGCCCCCAAAGTCCCTTTTATATCTATGTCCCCTCCTTCACTAGAGTCTTAGTCCTACTTTTTAAAGATGGAAGTAAATGAGGCTTTTGGAACTGAAAGCATCAAAGAAGACGTTCATCACCAAGAAAGCATTTTGGAAAAGAAGCTCATGGAGATTAGTGACTGAAGGTGTCAGGACAGAGGCTGTGGCTTTTTATTGTGGGTGGCACCTGAGATCATTTGGTCTGGTTCCTGAATTCTGTATTTTGACTCAGGGACTGGCTGGAGATCACACAGCTCACTGCTCAGTGGTAGGGTTGGGGCTGAAGCCTCTGTGCTTCTTTCCATGACATAAGCAACTCCTTCATAGGGTCAGTTACACCCCACTGGAATTGTTAAAGGTAGGACAATTTCAAGTTTCGTGTGAAGATACACTGTTTGGATAGGAAATCTTCGGTGATAGTTTTGAGAGTAGGTTTTTTTTCTACTTTTTTTTTTTTTTAATGGTATAAGAAATACAGCTGAGACTTTGTTAAGCCATTATGGTTGACTTCCTCTGGTGTCTTCCAGGACAGACTATTATTATTTACATTGGTTAATGGTTATCCAGGCAGGCTCAGTTAGCACTCAGGAGATTAAGTGGAGGAAGTAACAAGGCAGGGTGCCCATGTCTACACACGATGTGCTGGATCAGTGATGGCATTGCAATGAAGACAGTCAGTGCCTGGCTTCAGATGGGATCTGACAGGTGGCTGAGGGGTGAGGGCTTCATCTTGTCCACGTCTAAAGAGATACAGAGAGAATCAGGGACACAACTTAAAACCCCAAAGGGTGAGCAATAAAATAGTTTTAGGAATGTTGTTACTGTAAGGCATATATTTATACTGTCTTCCTGAATATACAAACTACATCAAGAATTATCCTTCAGGGGCTGGAGAGAGCACTTGCTTCCAAAGGACCCAGGTTCAGTCCCTAGTACCCACTTTGGGCAGCTCACAACTGCCTGTAACTCCATCTCTAGAGGATCTGATAGCCTCTTCTGGCCTCTGAGGGCATCCACATACCTCCCAAGTGTTGGGATTACAGGCATGCACCACCATGCCTGGTTTACATAGTGTTGGGGGTCAAACCCAGGGCTTTGTGCATGATAGGCAAGCACTCACCAACTGAGGTACATCCCTAGCCTGAGTCTCCTACTTAAAAAAATTATTTATTTTATTTTATGTATATGTGTATGTGACTGAGTATATGTATATGTGCCATGTGGGTGCAAATGCCCAGAGAGGCTAGAAGGTGCTAGCTTTCTTGGTGCTGGAGTTACAGGCAGTTGTGAGCTGCCCAATGTGGGTGTTGGGAACTGAACCCAAGTCCTCTGCAGAAACAGCAAGTTCTCTTAACCACTGAGCCATCTCTACAACTCCAAGTCTCCCACTTTTAAAACAATTTTATTTAATATTATTTTATTTTATGTATATGAATGTATTGCTTGCATTTATGTAAGTGCACCCATATCATGCAATGCCTGAGGAGGTTAGAAGAGGGTGTTGGATAGCCCTGTAACTGGAGTTATGGATGGTTGTTAACTGCCCTGTGGGTGCTGGGAATCAAACCTGGCTCCTTTGCAAGCGCAGCCAGTGCTCTTAACCCCTAAGACATCTCTCCAGCCCCAAGTCTCCCACTTTTAACTTCATGATTTTGGGCATGTGTATGTGTGAGTTCTAATCTCAGAGTTGTGGGGATTAAAGGAAGTAGTCCAGGTAAAGCATTTGGCTTGCAGGGCTGGCAATAATAAATGTCTAGTGAATACTGCTTCCTGTTACTAGTTAATCACCTTCTTTTACCTAACGAGATGTTTGAAGCTGCTTTTCCTTCCCTGCAGCTCTTGGATTGCTTTGGGATTCCTGTGTTGATGGCTCTCTCCTGGTTTATTCTCCGTGCAAGATACAGAGTGATCCACTTCATTGCTGTGTTTGTCTGTCTGCTGGGTGTAGGAACCATGGTTGGTGCAGATATATTAGCAGGGAGAGAAGATAACTCAGGTAAGAGCTACTGCTTCAGTCACAGAAATGGTTTTGTTCATGCTTTTACTTTTCAATTTGGCAAAGATCCACTGACCTGCTTAAAACAGGTGGTAGGGGAGCCTGTATTGTAGGTGAGCTGCATCGGTGGTGCTGGGTGTGGTGGTGCATGCCTTTAATCCCAGCACACAGGAGGCAAAGGCAGAGGTATCTCTGTAAGTTTAAGGCCAGCCTGGTCTACATAGTTAAGACCCTGTTTAAAACAAAAACAGAACCACAAAGCTTTGTTCCTGCTTTTTCTCTGTTTGTTCCTCTCTTTTTCCCCTCTCCCCTCCCTCCCTCCCTCCCTCCTTCCCTCCCTCCCTCTCTCTCTCTCTCTCTCTCTCTCTTGTCTTTTTTTTACAGGGTCTCTTTGATATGTTGTACTATATAGAATATACAGTGCCTCTTTCATTGTTCTGATAGTAGTAACTTAACTCTAAAAGTATTATGTGGAAGATGGCATCCTGCCACTGAATATTCCCTCCCTCCCTCCTTCTCTCTTCCTTTCTTTCCTTTCTTTCACTTCCTCCCTCTCTTCCTCCTTCTCCTGCTTTTACCTTCTCTACCTTCCTGTGTAGCCAAGTCTTATGTTGAACTCATAATCCTTCCTCAGACCCCTCAGTGCTGTGAGATAACACACCTGTGCCACCACACTCAACAGTGTTTTATTTTTAGCAAAAAAGGAGACTTGGCATTCACTGGAAATCTCTTTTTAAGCGACTCTATGGACCTGAACACTTTGGCATACTTTAATTGACAACATAAGATCTAAACCAGGTCTGAACTTACCCAGTCTACGAGTGACTTCACCATCTCCTTGCTTCAAGACAAAATGGCTTTGCTTAGCAAGCATCCTCCCCTACAGTTCTCAGTAAACTCCCTTCAATACATTCCATGAATTTGTCATGTCTTAGAATGATTTTCTTTCAGTATGGAATACAATACCATCCTACCATCTGTTGGTCTCCTGAGGAGTCAGCTGTGAAAATCACAGCAGTACTGTGTCAGAGAGAAGAGCCTTTAAACATCTAGAAACTAGGGTTAAATAAAACTTTATTCAAATTAACAGTCAGATTAAACTCCTGGCTTACCTGTTGATAACACATTCCTTTCTGTGTCTTACTGCCCTGTAGGGAGTGATGTTCTGATTGGTGACATCTTGGTCCTGCTTGGGGCGTCCCTGTATGCTGTGTCTAATGTGTGTGAGGAATACATCGTGAAGAAGCTGAGCAGACAGGAATTTTTAGGAATGGTGGGCCTGTTTGGAACAATTATCAGTGGCATACAGCTGTAAGATTCTAAAATTTTTCATAAAAACAAAACGAGTGAAATATTGGGATGGGGGTTGGAGGAGGACAGTCAGGGAGGGGGATAAATTAGAATAAAATGTAATGACACGTGTATGCAGATGGCTAAATGAAGGTCCAGCATGATGGCACCACAGGTAAAGGCACTTGCTACCAAGCCTGATGACTTGAGTTCAATCCTCAGGATCCACATGGTGCAATTAGAACCGACTCCTGCAACTTGTCCTCTGACCTCCACACTCCAGCTGTGGCATGCATGCTTGAACGCACTTACACACACACACACACACACACACACACACACACACACACAAAGTAAAATGTAATAAAAAACAAAATGGCAAAATGAAACTTTGCATGCTAACTTAAAAATGAAAACATTTTTACATGAGCAAATACATAATAGATGACTACTTTCTGTAACTACTAATGTCCATTATTTGTTTAACCCCAAATCTTGTTTGAGATCAATAACTTGATAAAAACCTATTAGAGAATTGTTAACACAGCAAGAACGATGCGTCCTTGTATTATACACGTGGGAGGCACTGGAGTCTTGATTTCAATGTAGTGGAGTAAGGACTTTTCCTTTTCAATTATTTGTAGAAAATATTAACATGTTAATTTCTATTTTTTTTTTTTGGTCTTTTTTGATAGGGTCTCCCTGTAGCCTCACCTGTCCTTGCATTCACTATGTAGGCCAGGCTGGACTTGATCTCACAGAGATCTGTCTCTGCCTCCTGAATGCTGGGATTAAAGGTGTACACCACCATGCCAGGCTTGTGTTGAGCATTTGTAAAGGAATCATCCTCACTTTTATGGATTCCTTTTGTTTGTTTGTTATTTTAAGACGGGGTCTCAGTAAGTGGCCCAGACTGTCCTTGAACTCATGAACATCCTGCCTCAGCCCCCTGAGTGCTGGGATTATAACCACCATACCTGGATACATATTCTTATATTCTAAAAATTTTTTTAAAATCAACATAACTTTTTATCTTAGCTGAACTAGAGCAGCTAAACTTATTCTAAATATTGAAAACTAATTTGTGGATCATTCTGTGACCTCTTGTTTTAATCTTAGATTGATTGTGGAATATAAGGATATTGCCAGAATTCACTGGGACTGGAAAATTGGTATGTAATTAAATGATAACCTTTTTATCAACATTCTGTCCTTTAACTGACAAAAATGCACACTAATAAACAAACATTTTGCTTTAATCATATTTATATATCTTTGTAAAATCATACCAGTGATCATGGCTTACATTAAGCTTTCTCTGAGAAGTGGTAGGTGAGCCTCCATAAAAGATTATTCTTAATCTTTTAAAAAAGATATATTTTATTTTATGCCTATGTACCTGAGTGTAGATCTGTGCCATGTGCATGCAGATACCTGCAGAGGCCAGAAGAGGGTGTTAGATCCCTTGGAACTGGCGTTATAGGCAGTTGTGAGCCTCTTGATGTGGGTGCTGGGATCCTACAGAAAAACAACCAGTGTTCTTAACTGCTGAGCCATCTCTCCAGGTCCTAATTTTTAATCTTTATCAGAATGAATCACTTTTCTTTTCTAGAAATTCTAAATAAAACCAAGACTGACCCTCATCACACTAGCTTTAAGTTAGATCTGTATCCTAGGTCCTTGAACTTGTGATGGTTGTCGTCGGCTTCATTGTGAAGCATTAACCTAAAGCGACCGATGCTTGTGCAGTTTACCTGCTGCTCCTGTTGCTCCATTCCTCTGATGTCTATAGACACCTGTGGGAATAAATAAAGCAGAAGATATTAGGATAGTTAGGAAAAAATTGAACTTTAATGAGGTCACGGTGAAGTTAAGTATAGTGTAAATGTTACTGAGATTGTATAGCATGCTTGGACAATGTAATTGAATTAAATATACTGTGTGGGGGGGCGGGAGAGCATGGGATTAGAGAAATGCTTGGAAAGCAGACATATTGCTGCTGTGGTCAACACCTGCATGGCTGGCACTGTCCTAAAGAGGACGGTTACACTGGGCTCTTGGAACATGTAATTCAGTAAGATAAGTAAGATACAGTGGATCTAGCATCTATTTTTGATATCCTAAAAATACTTTCTTCTGAATACAGTCACACTCTGCATATCCAACCAACCAACCAACCAACCAACCAACCAACCAAACCAAATAGAAGTAAATAAGGACAATATGGGATTTTTCCTGTCATGTGATACTGATTCTGCTTTTGTTGAGCTTTTACCACTGGCATCGTTTGACCTTGGGAGGGTGGACTACATGGGCAGTGTGAGCTGTTGACAGAGTCACATCATAAGCAAGATCTTATGACCTTGATCTTCTAATGCCCTGTTGGATCTTCACAACTTGTTATGTTATCATTGTTATTTTTCAGAGAGCCTTGTAGTCTTTTTGGAATGCTGACTGTTAAGGGGGAGCTTTGTAGAGAGTTTGTCAAAGGATCAGGGAGTTTTATGTGGCATCCAAACCTTAAACCCCTTGTCTTCTGATTTCTCCCTATAACTTAAGCTATCCGTTTTTTCACAGCCCTGCTGTTTGTGGCATTTGCCCTCTGTATGTTCTGCCTGTACAGCTTCATGCCCCTGGTGATTAAAGTCACTAGCGCCACGTCCGTCAACCTGGGTATCTTGACAGCTGACCTCTACAGCCTTTTCTTTGGACTTTTTCTGTTTAGCTATAAGGTAAGAAAATAGATCATATTCAAATAAGAAAACATTTTTTTTGGTCTAAAACAAGTTTATTTTTCTATTCTTTTTTTTGAGACAGGGTCTCATGCATTCCAGGCTGACCTAGAATTCACCATGTAGCTGAGGATGACCTTTAACTTCTGATACTCCTACTCCCATTTCCCCGAGTGCTGGGATTACAGACACTTGCTACCATACCTGGTTTTTGCAGTGCTGGGAATGGAATCTAGGGCTTTGTGCATACTAGGGAAACACTCTCCTGAGCTACACCCCAGGTCTAAAACAAGCTTCTTGTCCTCTTAACAAGAATTGGACAGGCCTCATTCCTTTTGTTACTGTTTCCAAATACAAAATTGGTCCAAAGGAGAGTTGCCCTTCTAAGGTTATTTAAAAGGGTGAAATACAGTGAGTTTCATCTTGATGCTGTGACTAAGGATAGACTGTTGGAAGTGCTAAAGCTTGTGCTAGGAGCTACTGTTGAGCTTGTAAAACAATCTGACTTAGGCTGGGCACTCAGAGCTTTTCTGATCACTCTTTTTGCCCAGACACACAGGCAAAAGGCCTGGAATAGCTGGTGGAAGGAGGGAGAGACAGGAATGTTATCACTCATGTGTGACTGGAATGGGGCCATTTTTGCCCATCATTTTTTTTGTTTGTTTGTTTGTTTTGAGTCAGGGTTTCATGCATGGTAAGGTAGCCAAGCTTATTCGGTAGAAGATGACCGTGACTTGAATTTAGGATCTTCCTACCTCTACTTCCTGTGTTGAATCACAGGTTTGTGCTACCATGGACCACCCCCTCCCCAGTCTCACTTTGTAATCCACACTGGCCTGGTACTTGTTTTGTAACCCAGGCTGGTCTTCGACTCCTGATGATCCTCCTGCCTCTACCTCCCAAGTGCTAGGATTACAGACATGAACCACCATGCCTGTCTTGATGATAATTTTGTATCTGGAAGGGACTTTAAGCTTGAGTCCCATCATGTTTATGACCTTTTCTGTTTCTCCCACATCATGGCACTAGTGTAACCTACCCCACTAATACCAGTTCCTGTTATACAGACCAGTTCTCAAGTGGGCTTTGTGAGATGGACTGTGTCAGTGTCTGCAGGGGAAGCAAGGGAAATATGATGTTTGAAAAGGTAACATCTCTAGAGTCTGCACCCCTTCCCCTCTAGAGCTGGGGAACTGAGAAGGCCCAAGGAGGTTGTGCACAGTTGGTGATCGCCTTCTATCAGAACTGGATGGTGGCCAAGTTAAGCTCATGTCTCGCTGTCCTCCTCATCTCTCAGTCTGGTTTCCCTCCCTCCCTCCCTCCCTCCCTTCTTTCATGCCTTTCTTCCTTCCCTCCCTTTTTCCTTGTTTGGCCTTTTGAGACAGTCTCCCTATAGCCCTAACTGGCCTGGAACTCCCTATGTAGACAAGGCTGGCCTCCATCTCAGAGAGATCTACTGCCTCTGCCTCCCAAGGGCTGGGATTAAAGGAGTGCACCACCACGTCTGGCTCAATCTGGTTTTCTTTTCCCTGCACCTTTCCTGCTCTGTGTTCATTACTGAGACTCTCAAGCTCATGAATTCATCATGTTGTCTCACGCATTAGAGAACCCAATAAGTAGATGTTTTTCTACCTCACACCTAGTTAAAAACCTCGGGTAGCAGTTTCCGTATGTTTTGATATCATGCCTCTTTTATTTTAAACTTTAAAAAAAATTATTTGTGTGTATGTACATATGTGGAAGTCAGAGGACAACTTGTATGAGGCTCTTCTTCCACCATATGGGTCCTGGGGATTGAACTAAGGTTTTCAGTCTTGGTAGCTACTTTTAACTGGTGCGTCATCTTGCCAGCTCCTTATTTTAAGCTTTAATTAAAATTATTATTTTGTTTGTTTTAATTTATTTTAATTCTTCTTTAAAACATTTTATTCACTTGACGATTTCATACATGTTTACATGTATCGATCATAACCACCCTCAACTCTTCCCTCTCACTTCCCCCATCTCCCCAAAATGACCCCATCCCACCTTTGTACCTTTTCTTTTTGTTTATAACCCACTGAGCCCAGTTAGTGCTGCCTGAATGATCATGGGTAACCTATCATCAGCAGCCACACCCCAAATTAATTATTCTTACCTTTATTTATTTATTTATTCATATTTATTTGTATGAATTTGCCTGCATGTATCTAAGTGCACCTGGGCATGCAGTGCCCATGGAGACCAGAAGAAGGCATCGGATCCCTTGGAACTGGAGTTACAGATGGTTGTTAGCTGCCATGTGAGCTCTGGGAACTGAACCCGGTTCTCTGCAAGAGTAGCCAGTGCTCTTAACCACTGAGTCGTCTGTCCAGCCCCATTTTATCTTAAAATTTTAATTTAATTTTGAAATGAAGTCTTGCTATATAACCCAGGCTGGACTTGAACTTGAGAACCTCCTGCCTCAACCTCCTAAATATCTGCGATTACAGGTATGCACCATCACTCCAGCTTAGGATCCTTTTAAATACTTAAAAATTGAGGACTCAGTCACTTAAATCTATTATTTACCAAATTAAAGCAGAAATTAGAAAACATCTACATATTAATTCATGAAGAAAATAATGAAGTCATTATATACTAACAATTATGAAAAACTTCATTTTTTAAAGCGAAAGTATAAAAATTAGAATAGAGAAATTGATTTACATTTAAAAATTTATTGCTGAATGTTCATTTACACAGTCCCGAGTTTCTTAAGGACATTATTTATTTTTATTTCCTGTGCATGAGTGTCTTGCCTACGTGTATGTAGGGCACCATGTGTGTGCAATGCCTATGGAGGCCAGAAGAGGATGTCAAATCCCCTGGAACTGGAGTTACAGATAGTTGTTAGGCACCATGTGGGTGCTGGGAATTGAACCTCAGTCCTTTGCCAGAGCAGCCAGTGCTCTTAACCTCTCAACCATCTCTCCAGCCCATCATAAGGATATTTTCATAAGTATATAATAAACTTTGACCATGTCCCTCCCCACCTCCACTCTTGCCTTCTTGATTTACACTTAAAAACAGACTCTTTAGGAATTTGCATGTCATCCATATGCAGGGGCCATGCTAATCTTCTCTGTATTATCCCAATTTTAGTATATGTGCTGCTGAAGCAAGTGCTTGATTTACATTTTTAAGGATCTCTTTAGGGGCTGGATCGATGGCTCAGTGGTTAAGAGCACTTGCTGCTCTTGTTGAGGGCCTAGGTTCAGTTCCTAGTACCCATCTGGTAGTTGGTTGATAACTGTCTTTACCTCTAGATCCAGGGGGTTCAGCACCTTCTTCTGGCCTCCAAGGGTACTGCATACACATACACATACGCAGGCAAAGAATTTAATATTTGGCTTAATAGAAAATAGTTGAAATCTCACATCTGCTTTTTCATTCTCCTGATTATACACGTCATGAGACCTCTGGAACATTCCACAGTGCACTTTTAAGACAATGAAACTGACAAGGGCAAGTAGCCTTAGTATCATTGTGAAAGTAGTTTTGACCTTATAGGATCCCCTTGAAGCTCTTTGGACCAACTGGTCTTTGCCTCAGAAGTCTGTCTTTTCTCCAAATGCCTGCAGCAGATGCTGTTAACCAGCTTTCTGTTTTTTTCTATAGTCATTTGAACAGACAGTTATGACACTGATGATAGCTTTTGTTTCACTAGGGGATAACAACTATATTTCTTTGCCCTTTTGTATCCAAAGAGGGATCCTTGGTGCTGACTTAGTCTCCTCCCAGGAACTAGCAGAAAGGAACTCACATTGCTTGTCTGAATTACTGATACTTAAAGCTCACTGGGTTCTCAAAAATGGCTGCTTATTAAGTGTAAACCCTTTTACCTTGTGAGGTTATGTGGCAGAAGGCAGCTGTTGTCTTGTATACTTGTTGGCGGAGGTATTTCTCATTCTCACTGATGAGTATTTATAGCTTATTGGTAACATCACAAAAAAGCAATGTTGGAGTGACTCAGGGAAGTAGTCTTGGTACACCCAGATTTTCTTTTTCTATAGAATTGTTCGGGGCAGTGGGATTCATGTTAAGGAGTGAGTTGCTCGGGCTATGGCTGCCGTTCATGTGATCCTCTAGGGCTCTAGGGAACAAAGGTGTGTCCATACTGTGATTCCAGGCCAGTTGGAGCAGCTGCTCTGACATCTCTCACCTGTTTTTTTTTTTTTTTTTCTCTCTCTATTAGAAAAATTTTTTGTTACATTTCACTTATTTTGTGAGGGTGGGGGTGGCATGCCTGCGGAGGTCAGAGAATAACTTTAGGAGGTTGGTTCTCTCTTTCCATCGTGTGGGTCCTTGGGAACAAATTCAGTCCATCAGTCTTGGAAGCAAGTATCTTTACCTGCTGGCCTTTTATTCTGTTTAAGGGGGCTGGAGAGATGGCTCAGTGGTTAAGAACACTGGCTGTTTTTGCAGAAGACCCAGGTTTGAATCCCAGCACCCACATGGCAGCTAATAACTGTCTGTAACTCCAGTTCCAGGGGATCCAACAACCTCTTCTGTCCTCTGTGGGTGCTGCACGACACAGGTGCACTTACCTACAAGCAGGCAATATAAGCATACACATAAAATAAAAATTAAAAAAATGTAATATTGTACTTATTTTTATTTTATGTGTATGCGTGTATTGCCTGTATGTATTTAAGTGCACCCATGTCATGCAATGCTCTTGGAGGTCAGAAGAGGGCATCAGATCCCTTGGAACTGGAGTTAGGAGAGTGGTTAGCTGCCACATGGTGCTGGAATTCAAACTTGGGTCCTCTGTCCTCTGCAAGAGCAGCCAGTGCTTTTCACTACCGAGCCATCTCTCCAGCTGCCCTCCCCCTTTTCTGTTTTCTAACCAAGCATATTATGATTAGTAATTTAACTTCTATCTTTCTAGTCTAAGTAAAATAATATCCAGGAGGTACTAAAACTAAAGAAATAAAGACTTCCAAGGGCAAGGCACACTTGTCACTACCCATTATAAACTCTTAATCATAATAAATGCTTCACCTCATAAACTCTTAATTAAATTTTTTTTTTTACTGTTTTGAGAATTTCATACAGTATATTTTGACTATATTCAGACCCCCTCTCCTCTCCCACTTTCCTAGCCACCAACTTCTCATCCTGCTATTCTTTATCTCCTTCTTCGCTTTCGGAGCCATGTTGGCAAAAAGCTATTATTTTTATGTGTATGCGTGATTGCCTGCATGTAGGTAAGTGCACTCATGTTGTGAAATGCCTGTGGAGGACAGAAGGGACTGTCGGATCCCCTGGAACTGGAGTTATAGACAGTTGTTAGCTCTCATGTAGGTGCTGAGATTCAAACCCAGGTCTTCCGCAGGAACAACCAGTGTTCTTGACCACTGAGCCATCTCTCCAGCCCCTTTATTTATTATTTTTATTTTATGTGTATGAGTGTATTGCCTGCATGTAGGTGCACCCATGTTGTGCAATGCCTATGGAAGTCAGAAGAGGGCATTGGATCCCTGGAACTGGAGTAACAGACAGTTGTTAGGTGCCATGTGGGTGCTGGGAACTGAACCTTGGTCCTCTGTAAGAGCAGCCAGTGCTCTTAACAACTGAACCATCTCTCCAGCCCCCTTTTTCTTTTTCTTTAAGGTTTATCAAGTCTAATCTGTTTCCTAGATGCTCTTGGGTGTGGGTCCATCCTTGGAGTCTTCTGAACATGTGAGGTGTCACATCAGTGACAAAAACTGACTCTCCCTCTCTCAGCAGCTGTCAGTTGCCAATAGATAGATCTTCAGCTAGGCCTGTGGCTTCCTGCCCACCTCCCCCATCCATGCTGGGTTTTTGCCTGACTTGGTTTGCACAGGTCTTGTGCATGTTGTCACAAGTGCTATGAGTTCATATGTGCAACTACCCTGTACTGTCCAGACAATACAATAAACTCTTAATATTTAAGAATAAGATTGTAAATATTTTCAACTGCTCTTAACTTTAATATAAAGAAATTCTTTTTTATGTCATATTTCTGGACACATGACTACTGACCACTGTTCTCAGAGTGGGAGAATGTTATGTATGACCACCTTTGCAATTCCTTTGTTAATGGTCCTTTGTCCCTGCATGTCTACCAGCTCATTTTCACACCAGATTTTATTGTTTCTGGTCAAAGGCTACTTCAAGACTTACAGAGCAAAGGACAGCTCTGTTATCTTCAGAGTAAATTGCAGAGGTAGAAAAATAAAGATACCTAGCACTTTAGATGGGGTGTATGTGTATGTGTAAAAGCACATACCTGCACATGTGCCTGGGTGTGCATGTGCGGAGGCCAGAGAGGATGCTGGGTGCCCTTTGTAATTCACTGACTTATTTCCTTGGGACAAGATTTCTCACTGAACTTGGGACTTGCTGTTTTTCTGCTAGACTGGCTGGCCAGTGAGTCCCTGGGATCCTTCTTCTGTATCTACTGCCCTCTAATCCCACACAGTGCTGGGATTACAGGCTTGTGTGGCTATGCTTGGATTTTTATATGGGTGCTGGGGATCCTAACTCAAGTCTTCATGCTTGCACAGCAAGTGCTCTTACCCTCTGAGCCATTTCCCCAACCCCCTCAATGTTTTAAAAGACACTTCTAAGCCCAGTATGCCCTAGTTTAAAAAATTTTAGTCCCTAAAGTAGCCAGGCATGGAGACAGAGGCAGGTGAATCTCTGTGAGTTTGTGTCTGTCTGATCTACCTAGAGAGTTCTAGGCCAGCCAGAGCTACACAGGGAGACCCTGTCTCAAACAACAAAACACAGGGCTGGAGAGATGGCTTAGTGATTAAAAGCCCTGGCTGTTCTTGCAGAGGACCTCGGCTCAATTCCCAGCACACACATGGCAGCTAACAACCATCTGTAGCTCCAGTTCCAGGGGATCTGATGCCCTCTTCAGACCTCTGCAGGCACTGCACAACACAGGCGCACTTTACAAACATACACATAAAATAAAAATAATAAATAAAATTTGAAAAACAAAAATACCAAAACAAATTATTGTCCTTAAAATAACTTTGGCTGTGATTTCTTTTTTTTGAAGCAAACATTTGAAAAAGGTGTAAATTAAAAAAAAATACTATCCATGTCAGACCTTAAACACCTAGTATCTGAGATTGATCTTGAGTAAATAACTGCTGAGTAGTCTCCAGAAACTTCCTGTGTGGATCCACATACAAAAAGTAGAATTTGAAATGAAAGAAAGGTTAAGAGCCTCTGTTCAGGGACTTACCTCATTCCCTCAGTCTCTGTTCTGATAAGAGTGGCTCTAGAGTGACATGATTCTTTCTCACCTGAACATTTGGAAACCATTAAAGCAAACAGCCCATTTTGAACAAGCTATATAAATTTTGTTTTCTTTTTTTTTTGGTCTTTTTGAGATAGGGTCTTCCTGTAGCCCCAGCTTGCCTGGAACTCACCATGTAGACCAGGCTGGCCTTGAACTCACAGATCTGCCTGCCTCTGCCTCAAAGTGCTGGGATTAAAGGTGTGCACCACCACGCCTGGGTTGAACAAGCTATATAAATTTTACTGCAGGTCATATGAGCACTTTATAGGAGAGTGTGAACACGATTTTTTAAAAAATCTTTTTGAGACAGGGTCTTGGCCTGGAACTCGCTATGTAGACCAGGCTAGCCTTGAACTCACAGAGGACCAGGCTGGCCTCGAACTCACAGAGATACACCTGCCTCTGCCTTCCAAGTGCTGGGATTAAAGGTGTACGTCACACCTAACTTGTGATACCTTTTGTAACACTGACTTTAAAAGTTTTATGAGCTGGATGCAGTAGCACAGGCCTAAACCTACAGTCTCAGCTACTTGGGAGACTGAGGCAGGAGGACTGATTGAGTCCAAGAGTTCCAGACCAGCCTGGGTAACATGATGAGACCTAGTCTCAAAAAGGAAAAATTTTGCAGGCACACTAAATAAATAACTGGGTGGTTGTTTTCAGTCTTTAGAAAGAGCAGGTTGGGGACCAAAAACTCCTCCATCTTTGTAATGTGTCTGTTAGTATGGCTCCCACTGATTGGTCCCCCTGGAGCAGATGGGGAAGTAGTCCCTCCTGCTAGCATGGTTCTCATGGTTGTCCTCATTCTAGTCAAGGACAACCTACTGGATGTCAGACCTTCTGATGAATACCATCATAACTCTTTTTAGCTCTGAAAATCCATTCTGCTCAGGTATTATAAGTTTTACAGGAGGTAACACTTGCCTACAGAGATACAATGTGTTAAATTGAACACAGTTACTGGAGTAGTGTTGAATGAGGGGTTACTGGGCAGATGGTCCTCTGTTGGGTAACGGTAGTAGCAAGTGTTCCTCTGCTAGGTGACAGCACTATAAGCTAGGCACTCTCAAGGTTGTGTGCTGAACATTTGCTTCTTCTGCTTTACTGCTTGTAGGGTGGGGTCCAACTGAGTGGGTTACCACCGGGAAAGACAAAGTTTCCTCCCAAACATCCAAAGATTGGGCTGGGGATATAGCTTAGTTGGTAGAGTGCTGGCCTACCACGCATGAAGCCTTGGATTCAGTTCCCAACACCTCATAAACCAGGTGTGGTGGCATGTGCCTATAATTCCAGAATTTAGGAGAATCAGACATTCAAGGTCATCCTTGGCTACTTAGTGGGTTTGAGGCCAACCAGGGCAACATGAGCCTGTCACAAACAAAATGTTCTAAGGATCCAGTTGACTGGTCTGCCCAGCACTGTGGCCAGAGCCCATGAGGTCAACGTTATAATCAGAGGGCTGGGGGTGTTGGCATTTCATCCGATAACTTCCAGGAAAGAGACTTAGAGAAGGTAGGCATCCCAGCAGAGTTGGCAGCAAGCAGCCACACCGTGCACGTGTGAGGGTGCTAACCATGTGTGAGGGAGCTAACCCATTGACTGTTCTCTCCTTCCAGTTTTCAGGCCTCTACATCTTGTCATTCACTATCATCATGGTGGGCTTCATCCTGTACTGCTCTACCCCAACACGCACTGCAGAGCTGGTTGAAAGTAGTGTGCCTCCTGTCACCAGCATTGGGATTGACAACCTGGGACTGAAGCTTGAGGAGAGTGGTCTCCCAGAGACCCACTCTGCGGTCTTGTAGCTGGAGAAGCCACGCACCCTTATGTGCCACTAGGAGAAAGCAGAGCCTGCCACTGCCGAGGGGATACGGGGGAGCATCAGCCTCAGAGAGAACACCCACCACATCTGTGGTTAAATTTTAGACAGGAACACTGACCAATGGATCCAAACTAGAAATACCAAAAGAGAGCTGAGCCCAAGGGTAGTGTTTCTGTGTGCTGAGGACAAATACCTGTCAGTGTCAGAGAGCCAGGTACAGGCTTCCTGCCCATGTCTTAGAGACACACAGGATGGGGGACCCAGCCAGCCTCAAGGCTACTCAAGCAGTCAGGAGTAGAGACAGTCCGGGATGGATGTGTAATAAGACTCCACTGTTGGAAGTTTCAGACTTTTGTCCTGCTGGGGCAGTTGCTGTCTACAGACCTTGTAGAATTTAGACACCAGTGAGGCCTGGTGCTCATGGCATGTGGTGGGAAAAATGGAAATTCCTGAGATAAAAATGTGACTACTTTGAAAGCAGCTAATGAGTGCAGAAACCCAGGAGCTCTTTCTCAACTGTTCCTTTGTCTTTTCTGAAAAACCCTCTTGTCTGTTACCCCTTGCTCCTACCTGCCACGTTTGCTCCCATGTTTCACGCCCCACAGCTGTCAAGGCCTGGGACACTGATGTCCCAGCCCCTCATGTTCAGCCTCACGCTATACTCTCTGGGATTTCTCCAAATAACATTGAGTAAAGGTACCCTTAGAAAGTTCTCAGACTCCCAGGAATATGTTTATATCTCTCATCTCAGGCAGCACAGTTTAGAAAATGAAGTCTTCTGCAAGTTGTCACAGCAAGGAGAGAACTTTGTTTCTATCACTGGTTGGAAAACAGAGTATCCTTAAAACAAAAAAACCAATAATTTTCCAGAGAAGACTGTGTCCCAAAGACTGTTGAGGATACTGTCCTACATCTTATAATGGCTTTGTAACGCTCGGGGGATTCTAGGATAATTCAGTACAGTGCTAACATGCAGCCTCAATGTAGCTACCAGAATGCCACATTCAGAAAACACTGTGTAAAGTTTTTGTACAAGTGGTAAGTGTTCATATTATTAAAAGACTCATGGAAATAATACCACACCATGTATGCTTTTATTTTAGATTAACCAATTTCCTTTGTGGAGATCTGTCAGTCTATATATAAATATGTATTGTATTGTTTTTAAATCTTTGTGTGTGTGTATGTGATGTGTGTGTGTGTGTATATATATATATATATATATGAAGTGCATGTGTAGGTATGCACATTCATGTATGCCTGAGTTCAAGCATGTGCATGCCACAGCACTCATGTGGAAGTCAGCCTTGCCTTCCAACTTGTTTGAGATAGTCTCTTTGTTGTCTCAGCAGCATACATCAGGCTGGCTGACCCGGAAGCTCTGGTGAGTCCCTGTCTCCTCCTCCCAGCTCACTGTAGGAACGCTAGGGTTGCAGACTTGTGTTATGACACCTGGTTTTACATGGATTCTGAGGGTTCAAACTCAGATCCTTACACTTGTGGGGCAAGTGCTTTACTCACTGAGCCATCTACTCAGCCCTTACCTTTGATTTTGTGAGACTGTCTATATGTGGCCCAGGTGCCCTTGAACTCCTAATGCTCCTGCCTCAGACTTCTATGTGCTGAAATTACAGGTGTGCATCCTCATGCTTGGTTTCCCCTTGTGGATATTAAATGGGTTAACATAGTCAAGATTTCTTATCTAACTTTTCAGAATCGCATTTCCTGTAAGGTGAGGCAGACACGCATTTGGGGCCTGTGTTGGGACTGAGCAACCACACAGGTCATGTGCAGCAATCAGTGGTTTGTACTTTTGGATGACTGCAATAAGTGTTTTATATTTTTGAATGAAATTGTCTTATTTTCCACAACCTATTGACACTGCCTTTTGCTTGGGTGTTAACCCCTTGCCCCCACCCTGAGTCAGTGCCAGGGGAAATGGCTCTGTTCAAATAGCCTTTTGGAGAAGACTTTCCAGTTTGATTAGCACACTGGTTATGTCTTAATGTATCTTGCATTTCAGTAGGGATAGTGGGGAGATAGTCTCAGGTGACAAACTACTAGGCATCCAGGGTTGAGCTCAAGCATCCTCTCTCCTGGGATGCCTACCCTTAGGCTGCCCATGATGGGTCCCACCATACTGAGGTCCTGGAAGCCTTTGTTCATAGCTTCCTGTTAGCACTTAGCTAGTATCTGCTGTTTACCTGCCACTCATTACAGGCCTTTCAGGACAACCATGGCTTTTTTCCATCTTTCGACCTCATTGGTCAGTTTATCTCTTACTTACTAAGTGAACTTTGCCTTTGGTTCCAATTCAGAACACGGCAGGGGAGATTGAACTACATTTAGTAAGGCCTTTAATGCAAGGCCATGAGTTACCAAGGATACTTCCCTGCTCGGCTCTCTTTTCCCCATTTGTTATCCTGTCTTCCTTTCCTGTTCCTAATCTGGAGACAGGAAAGGATTTTAGTCCTGGGCCTCCCAAGTTAAAACTCAGAGTCTTAGGGAGCAAGGCTGTGAATGACAGTCCTGTAAGACTGTGCCTCCCAGACGGAGATTGGGAAGGACAGGGAATCCAAGCACTGCTTCCATAGGAGAGTTATCTCCAAACATCTGCTTACCTGCAAGCCTTTTGTTTTTTAAAAAATAGATGTTGGCTCTATATTCACAATATTATCAATTCAACATGCATCACCAGCCACATATCAGGGGCCCAGTAGCCACGTGTTAGATACTATGGACTTAATTTCTTCAAATTAGACTATGTAAGGGAAGTTGATATACTAAACATCACAGAGATTATAGCATGAACATTAATACAATATTTAAAATAACAAATATGATAACAGTACATTCACTTTTTAAAGGAATCTTTCAATTGAGGAGCATACAGTCTATTAGTGAAAAAAGCCATCTTTTAATACATGAGGTTTTTTTTTTTTTTCCTTAGAGCTTTGTTGTGTATCCCAGACTGGTCTTGAACTTGTGATCTTCTTGCCTCAGACTGGGATTAAGGCATGTACCTTATGCCTGCCATAACACAATTTTCTCTTTTTTTTTTTGGTCTTTTTGAGACAGGGTCTCCCTGCAGCCTAGGCTGGCCCAGAACTCAATATGTAGACCAGGCTTGCCTCGATCTCACAGAGATCTTCCTGCCACTGTCTCCCGAGTGCTGGGATTAAAGGTGTGTGCCACCATGCCCAGCATAACGCATTTTTTAAAAAAATTATTTAATAACCACATGATTAGAAGCATTTCATTACAGCATTAACATATTCAATAACAATTTCCAGAGCAAAGATGCTTCTCTTTCAAAATTAGCTGTAAAATTTGAGGTTCACAGTTAAATTAATACAGTTATACAGTATTGAACTCAGTATAACCCTTATAAGACATAAAATTGAATGAGGTTTTAACTTTTTTTTTAATTACAACATAGAATAAGTAGATTTAATAAATGTTTATAGCATATTTCATCCAACAGCTGTGGAATATACATTCTTTTCAGCAGTCCAGGTAACTTTTTCTAAAATAAATCATATTTTTTTTATTCTTATTCTTTTATGAAGTTAGTTAAAAATTAATGAACAAGAAATTAAAGAGACTGCGCTGCAATTAAGTTAGCATATTCTAACTGGAAAACAATTACTGTGAAACTATTTACATTCTCATAGAATTATAAACATTTCTAAAAGAACCTTTTCCAATTTTTTTGGACTATTTTTTCCGTATTGATTTTTAAAAGTATTTTTTATAGATATCTATGCCATTGAAAAGATTTACTGTATCAGTCAGCTTTTCTAATTGCTGTAATAAAATACCTGACATAGGCAATTTACAGAAGAAGGGTTTATTTTGGCTCAGGATTTCAGTCCATTCTGGTGGAGCTCTTCAGGTGGCGATCACACATGTTGGGGCTTCTCACACTTGGGGGACTCCGAAAGCAGAGACTGGGATTAGAACTGGACACAAATATCCCCTTCAAGACCTACTCCCACTAACCCCCTCTGCCAGCTAAAGGTCTCAAAGGTTCTACAACCTCCCAAAATGGTAACACCAGCTGGGGACCCAGTGTTCAAACACTATCACCTACTGACCAGTGTGGAAAGGGTTGCTTGATGGCTCCCCCGTGTGGATGTGATAAACAGCACAACTAGATTATGGTGCCACAGTAAGAAGACAGGGCTTTGCCAGTGCTGTGTTAGGAAAGTAAGTTCTGCAGCTGGAAGGGGAGGTAACATTTGTGGCCTGATTCCAGCGAGTCTGACATACAGCTAGTATGTATTGTCCAGCGGAGCTTCCAGCAGGTGGTGCCCTAACAAAGGCAATGGCCCCAAGAGGGGACCTAAACCACAGTCCCATTTCCTATTGCTTCAGTATTGTCCTGTTTAAGTGTTCCCTTTTTATTACTTTTTAACTTACTTATTGGTGTGTGTATTCATGCATGTACATATATGTAGGCAGGTGCACTTGCTTGTGTGTTTGCACATGTGTGTAGGCTAGAGTTCAATGTCAGGTGTCTTCCTCTATCACTCAACTTTGTCTTTTTTAAATTTAAATTTTTATTTTTAAGAATTTTTTTTTAATGTGTGGGAGTGTTTTTTGTGCATGATGTATGTGCATTACATGTGTGCCTGGTGGCTAGAAAAGGGCATCAGATCCCCTGGAATTGGAGTTGTAGGCAGTTGTGAGCTGCCATATGGGTGCTTAGAACTGAACTCCGTCTCCTCCTCAAAAACAGCAAGCACTTTTAGCTGCTGATCCATCTCTCCTGCCTCTCCACCTTACTTTTTTTTTTTTTTCGGTCTTTTTGAGACAGGGTCTCCCTGTAGCCCCAGCTGGCCTGGAACTCACAGTATAGACCAGACTAGCCTCAAATTCACAGAGATCCGCCTGCCTCTGCCTCCCAAGTGCTGGGATTAAAGGCATGTGCCACCACACCTGACCTCCACCTTACATTGCATTGAACCTGGAACTCACTCTTTTGGCTGGATTGGTGGGCGAGTGAGCCCCCAGGATCCACCTATCTCTACTGCCACCCAGTGCTGGGGTCACAGCCTATTGTGGCCACACCCAACTTTTATGTGGGTGTTGGGACTTTGAACTCGGGTTCTCATGCTTTTGCAGCAAGCAGTTTACCCATACAGCCATCTCTACAGCCTGTTTTGTTTCTAAAGCATGTTTTTTCATGACTGTCCTCAGCAGGGATCGTCCTTGGTTAATAGTTGGAGAGTTGGACTCAGAAGAGTTGACACCCCTCCCAAATCATGGAGGTTGATGGCCGAAGTACAAATGGAATCCAGGATTTGACCCTGTGACCAGTGCCCATCCCCATTCAGAGCGCGCTAAGGGAAAGGATCCTGGTTCCTGAGTCACTGCTGAGCAGTGACTTCATGAGAACTGTTGGTAGACTTTGTTGAAAAACCTGGCTTGGTGGCATCATTTTCTCTGCAGCTCTGGAACCTGCCCTTTAGGAGCTCTTCTATATGCTGAGGCACGATTCTCTTCTCTAGCATAATTATGGTGATGTGCCATTTCATCCACGTTGAATCACTTAGCATCCGGGCAGAGCCTCAGCTCAAAAGATATCAATAAATCAGGGAAATTCAGCAGATAGCCACTTAGCTGATTAAAAGGCAAGAGATTTATGAGGAAATTAAGTAATGCTGAGCCCACAGCTCTCCAACAGTCGCATGAAGGGCGTTTCAGAAGTCTGACACTATATAAATGGTACATCTTGGGGGAGAGTTTTGTCAAAACAGCAAAACATTACCTGCCCTCTGGTGTCTAAACATGTATGTTGGGTTTAATACCATAAGGTTTCCTCTCTCAGTGTTAAAACCTCTACCACATAATTGCTTCCTTGGTTTAAATAATGCCCTCTCCTAGCAAACAATTTAAAATGCAGACGATTATGGAAATGGAAATTTAGATTAAAAGGGGGTGAAAATGAAGGTGATATAAAAACAGCTGTTCAAACACTTGTTTCCGCATCTGACCATCAACAGCATTTTGATATTTTCACGTTCTCTTCCTCAGTTGCCTGTCATCGCTCACTGTTTACCTAGTGCTGAGGC